TCCAAATTCTCCAACTCTAAGGAACCTTTTTAGTGCCCCCTTTCCCCTTAAGGAATCAAACATTCTAGTAAATAGCATCATCGTAGATGGGTTGTGGAACTTGGAAAATATACCTTACCCTCTTCCTCTAAGTGTGCGTAAAAAAATCAAACAAATAAATATTCCTAACATCTCGAACCTAGTAGACAAAAACCTACTTGGGCTATAACAATTAATGGAATATTCAGTACCTCATCAATGTACAATAATATAAAGGGTAAAAATAACATTAATCAACCACCCCTTAAAGATTTTAACTCGATCTAGAAACTCCAGTACCCTAATAAAATCAAGTTCTTCCTTTGGATAAGTTATTACAAGAGACTACCGACTTGGCACCATCTATACTCGATTGGGATCAATATTAGCCCAACCTGTACTATTAGAAGGGAAATGGATACCGGTACATATATCTTCGTTAAATGCACTAAAGCTATCCAGTTCTTGGATAAGTTAGGCATGCTACAATTTCTACAACCTATTCTCGGTGGTAGAGAAACAAATTGGTAGAAATGTCAAGAAATTTAACATTCACAACAACATCGAATGGAAATATGCCTTTCCTTTTTATATATGGTGCATATGGTTGAAAAGAAACCATCACTACCATAATGGGAAAAAAAAGGACATCGTAACATCTACACCTCTAGATAAAGCTGTAGAATTCTACTATCTAGGCAAGAAAGAAAAAAATAGCAACAATGTAAAGCCTAAGTAGAAGTGGTTATCCCTAGAGTTTGGCTTCAAGCTAAACACTGACGGCACTTACAATTAATCTTCAAAAGGGGGGGGGGGGGGGGCAGGAGGAGTAATACAAGATTATAGGGGATCTTGGATAGCAGGATTCTCAGCGAAAGTTAATGTTATTAATGCACTACACTCAGAACTACTAGCCTTATTTCTAAGGCTTAGAATGGCAGCAAGAGTGTGTATCTCAACTATCCAAATTGATATAGACTCATCAGATATCATAGACATTATCTATAAAGGTCATGACTCATTCACTACCACAATTTTTGAATGCAGAGAGTTACTCCAGAAGTTGGGGAACCCATAGATCAGCCATAGCTATAGGGAGCAGAATCAGGTGGCCAATATGCTAGCCAAAGAAGCAGTAAAACGAACAGATGACATAGATTTTATGGAATGGAAAAAGCCTCCATTGTTTTTCTCGAAGACCATTAATGTTGATAATGAGGGAGCCACTTTTGATAGGTAGGACTTGCTCCTACTAGTATCGGATAATTTTAATTTTGTTGGTAACATAACATATATTTTGTTTGATTGTAATGCTTCATGCAACCGGCCTTGTAATAATGCATATTATATCTAATTAAATAAACACCCTTTTCAACCAAAAAAAAGAAAGAAATAAAAGGATAATCAAAGCAATATTAATAATACATGGGAAAGAATCAAGTAATTTTATCATTAGGTTGACCTCGACGTTTTGCATTAGTAATCATAGTGTATTTCTTTTTTGAGAGTTTCTTCGTTTATTGACATATCCACCATGTGAGCACATGTAGTCCAGTCTCAGCCCGACATGCTAAGTCATAACATCATCCTATCAGGGTGATGAGACTTAACTATCATAAGCTAGAATTTGGAATGATATCCATATTGGGGGTAACATAGAGGAATCGCCAAATTAACTGTACAATCCTTATCGACATTTTCATGTGCTGTTTTAGGGGTTTGTCATACAACTCAAGTTTATTCAGTTAACAATTATTTTCCCAATATTTTAGTAATAAAATTTAGCTCAATGTCTCATTATCATGATTTGTTTTCATTGTTATTAGGATCATAGCATAAAATCATCAAGTTATATTTTAATAAAGTATCATAATTCATCATTTATTACATTTTTATGGTGAGAATAATAAAATTCATAGGATAGACATATAATAGAAATCTAAGGACAACATAAGGAGTTCATGACATTTGTAGTAAGGTACATGAAGAAATTATAGCGTTTTCATAATTTAAAAACTCGAACTTGTCTCTTAGAGAAAAGTTTCTTGAGTGACTGTTGCCTCTACTTTTTGCATTTAATTGAATAAAAGTGCAACCAAGTATATGAAATATCAGTTGCTGAAAATTTGGAGTGCTTGCTCTCATAAGAAGATGATAGTTGCATTAATATCGACAACTTATACGGCAGCAGGTCGACGTGTCCACTTTCGCATCTAAGGGTATTTTGATGCGGTTTCTCTGTCTTAACAACCATATGTTTTGAGATTTAATCTTTAGAACCATGCGGAAAAACCAAAGGGATACTACACGAGCTTTGCCCCTGTATGTCAACCTTCAGCTTCTTGAAGTAGTTTTTTCTATTTATTGAGCTTTATCTAATGCAACACGCTTCGAATGTTCACTTTGGTTATAATAATAGTACTTACACATCACATTGTTAATGTTGTAAACATTATATCAACGAGAAGTTCAAGGTTCAACACCAACTCATTGGGATTGCACCGCACAAGCAACTCCCCACTAGTGTGTATATATATATAAAAAAAATTTAATATTTTACAATCAATAATCAATACAAGTTAATTATCATGTGATAATATTTAATTTTTGTATTAAATTAATATACTCTAACGTGAGCAAATTACAATTTAATATTATTCGCACATCCAACGAATATTGGTTTAATTCTTTTAATTTAAGTTTTACATTATTAATGAGTCTACATCAGTATATTTACTGTTACTTTTCATATTTTATATATTTATTAATAAATTTAAATATGTGAATGATGCTTTATTATATCAAATAATAAATAAGTTAGTAATAATTTGGTTTGATATCGAGGGCGTGAGAAAAAGGATCAAAATTGTCCTTTATCTTTGAGTTAATAGTTAAGTTAATCCCTGTCTTTTCACATGAAGCACTAATAGTCCTTCATGTTACAAAAATTGGTGCACTTTTGGTACTTTCTCAAACATCCGTCTAATGTGGAAATTTTGTTCTGTGTTTGAGTGCAATTCTAGTGTTGTTTTAGTGCGAATCTAGTGCAACTATTTTGATGCACTTTTGGGGTTTGTTTTGGTGCTATTTGGTGCAATTTTAATGTTGTTTTGGTGCTTTTTACTGCTGTTTTGGTGCTGTTTCACCGTAGTAAATCTGGTGTTGCTATTTTTCAGTAATATTTTGAGGCATTTATGGTGCCATTTTAATGCTTTTTCGTGTAGTTTTAGTATTTTTCTACTGCTGTTTTGGTGCAACTCTATTGCAATTTTACTGTAAATCTAGTGCGCAATTGTTTTAGTGAAACTCCCATGTTGTTTAGGTGCACAAAAAAGATCATTCAAAATTAAATGAATGTTTGAGAGAATATCAAAAGTTGGTGTTGAAATATGAAGCATTATTAGTGCTCCATATTAAATGATAAAGATTACTTTTGACTAGTGGTAGCAAATGGGCGGTTGAGTCAAATTTGAGTGGGTTAAAAATTGGTCAACATAAAATGGGTAATAATCCATCCTGCCCATATTTGATATGCGTAAAAATAGATTGGGTAACAAATGGATCGGGTAAAATACAAGCTTACCCATATTTACCCATATTTTCATGAGTACATAGTACTCTTCTTAAGAATTCAACATGGAGAAAATATTTTAGTATTTTTTTGGATGAAAAATGTTACAAATACTTTATTTCGTTTTATTGTATCATAAAAGTAAGAAAAAAAACCTTATAACTTTTCAATCTAAAATAAATTTACACAATAACAATGGAAAAATATTTTAATTTCAAAGAAAATGAATATTTACCTTTCAAGACTAAAACATGCTTAATACATTTTAAGCAATATCAATACTAATACATGATTTGCTTATTTTATACGCTTTTATTTGTTATCGAATATAAAATTAAAAATAAAATAAATAGAATTATAATTAACAAAAGAAATGTACATTTAAAACATACATTTTTGAAGGGCCAAAGACTTCACATTTTCAATTACCGAGAGAATAATTTGTTTTATGAAGAACATAAATGGAAGAGAAGTTACAATATTTTTTGTGATATCATTAATTTTGAGTGAATAAAAGTTGGAAGCTTAATGAATATGGATATCAACCCATATTTTACTATGTAAAAAAAAGAAAAAAAATCAAATAAATACACATCTTATTTTACCATAATCTCTAAAATTCCCTACCATTTAAAAAATTTCAAAAATTCCCTCTCGGATACATCACTCCCCTCTCGTTGATACATCCCTATCTCCCTCTCGGATACATCCCTTCCCTCTCGAATAAATGCCTCCCCTTTCTGATTCATTCCTTCCTTCTCTAATACATCCCTGATAAGATCCTTCCCTATGTATCCGGATGTTCTATCTCCTCTCGAATACATCATCTCTCCTATATATCTGAATGTCTGCTAATGTATTTAGAAATTTAGTAATGTAATTAACTCTGAACATTATGAAATTTATATAAATTATACTATATAAAAAATCACTCACTGAACCTATTAAAATATGAACGAATTACCAAAATATGAGCTCATTTTACTAAGTACTAATTTTGACTATTAACTCAAAGATAAAAGTACAATTTTGATCTTTTTCTCTGGAGGCCGTATAGTAAACCAAAGTTTTTCTTCTATAATAAAAAATTCAGTCACGGCGGTTTCTCCTCCGCCCATAGCATATACCATAGTTGTTCTTGTTTCTTTCTCTGCGCAAGATCCGATTCCCCAACATCCTATCGCTCTTTATCTTATATCAATCACCCTTTCGCCTATCATACACCTTTTTTTGTACCTTATTTCTTTTTGTTTTTTTCCTGTGAAATGAATTGTTGATTGGTTCAATGATTTATACTTTTGGCTTTTCACTTATGAATTTTTCTTGATTTTTAGGTGAAATTACCATTTTTGGTGGTGGAGTTTGGATCTAATTTAGATAAAAGGGCGGGTTTAATTCCTGGGCAGAGAACACATAATAATTTCATATAAAAATTGAATCTTATTTGGGTTTGATTGAGGGTCTCAGAAGATGGTGACAGTGAATATTGGAATGCTCCATTATGTATTGGATCATGTATATGGTGCGTTTGTTCACAGAACAAAACTAAGCCCACCTTTCTTTTCTAGAGGATGGGGAGGTACAAAGCTTGAGCTTTTAGAGAAAATGATTAAGCAATTGTTCCCCGATGTTGAAGGACAGAATTGGCCTCCCACATTGGTACAACCTGTTTGGAAAACTGTTTGGGAATCTCAAACGGCAACTCTCAGAGAAGGTTTTTTTACGACTCCTTGCCATGACCAGCTGCTTAGTGCATTGCCTCCAGAGAGTCACATTGCAAGGGTTGCTTTCCTCGCCCCCAAATATACCCCGCCTCATAAGACGGCCTGTGTCGTTCATCTTGCTGGTTATCTCTCTTCTTCCCTTAACTAATTTGGGATTCAGGCCTATTTGATTCATTAATTCATATATTCTTTGTGATAGATAGATGCTCATCTTTACATTTGGTTTCTGTTTTTGATTCATACCCAAATAGTAGGAGGCGGAGCAGTTTAATTTAATTCTATCTGCTTGTGCTATTTATATGAACAAATGCTAGGTGTTTCAGTCTCTTCTAATGTATATTCAAGTTAAAATATGGCATGATGTCATGATGTGGTGACTACCTGGCTTATAACTTCTATTTTTATCAACCGACTCATGATTCTATTGATACATTTGAAGGTGGCTAGACCTTGCCTTCTTGAAAACAATGAGATACTGGTGAACCAGTCTTCACTATGAGCAAAAAAGTTAGTACATACAAGTGGCAATAGAGCTGTTGCTTCAAGCACCATGTTTTCTCCTGCTGACTTGGAAATATGGAAGCTTCCATCTATCAGTGTTAAGAAGGCCTTTCATCTGTCTTGGCAAGGCATTAAAGTTAGAATAGATACCACTATTATCAGTGGTGTGGCTCAGGGATGCTAACTTGTCGGTAACTTTGTTGGCTTCCCTAAAGGAGTGGTTGGTAGTGACTTGGTTGGACTTCACCAAGAGCTTAATCTTATTGACATTGTCTTCAGTTCTCCAAGGACTTGGCCATGCACCCTGAATACAGCTCTGCAACAGGAAGGAATCAGTTTCACCAAATACCATGTGGAGGCCATTCTGAGTGCACCAATTGAGACCGCAAAGAAATGATTCAGCTTCAACCAGATTACTGTTCCCTCTTCCAAGTAGTAGACAAACAGCCATTGAAACATGCCATCCTTGTCCCTCACCATCCCACCTCCTCCATAGTTCCCTTCAATACAACAACCATCTGTGTTAAGCTTTACAAAGGGACAGTGAGGTTTGATTCAAGAGACTGCAATAGAAATATTTTCCAGAAGTTTCAAGTCCATCAGTTGACAGATACCATTCCAATTATCAGGGATTGGATAGTTGAGAAACTGGAGTTTAGTGAGCTGACTAATGTTGAGGTTAATAAGAGTAGTGGAACTGCTCTACAAGAGATTTTCGTCATTATATTTAGCACTACATCTAGATCTCCATAACTCCCAAAGAATGATAGGTGGCATGATCTTAAAGAGTAAAGGAAGCTATGAAGTTTCTGCATTTGAAGTTCCACAAGGCATATACGATGTTTCTTAGGGAGGATCTCCTTTAATTGATGCCCAGCCCCGCTGCATAATATTGCCAGATTTGTTCTGCAAAATGGCCAGCATAAAAAATGTGCTCAGCTGTTCCTCCTCTTGGTCTTCTACCAATTACGCGGCAGCAGCAACATATGGACACCAGGTTAATACCAAACCTTGCCATCCTGTCATCTGCTGGGAGTCTGTTCTGAACCTTGCCACCCTGTCATCTACTACCTGTTCCAGGGCAGCGGCAAATGAATCGAAAGGAGTCAACCTGAATGTACTGCATTATATAAAGCTCTCTTATATTGTATTATCCTTTAGCCAACTCCTATTGATTTTCTAAACAATACCAGCTTTCTGTACAGATACAGGAACCGCCATCTGCTAAGATTTCAACAAACCCTTGAATGACGAGGCAAAACTTACCGTAGCTTTCTGACGAAGCAATTTTCAATTGAAGAAATTAGTTTTATCCTTTTCTAGTCACAATATAGTCCTACTATAATATGGATTTCAAATAGAACATATAGCTGCTTCCAAACAGATGAATCACGACGATTTAAAAATTATTCAATATTTAAAAACAAAAAGAGAATAAATGACCAAACTTCTTAGGTTTGTCTTACATATCCAGAACTGTTGTAAATGCATTGCTGGTAATGTCATTATCCTAACCAACTCTGCCTTTGCACTGTTGAGTTCTTATTTTTTTAGTTTTCCATCTGCAGGTACGGGAGATCATACTTTTGAGCGAAGATTGCGTCTTGGCGGTCCATTACTGAAGGAAAATATAGCAACTATGGTGCTTGAGAGGTAACCATTAATTCCACAGAGTAATGTCTTATTTATTTTATTTTTTAAATTTTTTTTTTTTGGTTCTTTGAATATACATTTCTCTTATTCTAATATCCTTCCATGTTCTGCAGCCCCTTCTATGGAAAAAGACGTCCATTGCTGCAGCGTGGGTCAAAGCTGTTATGTGTTAGTGACCTTCTGCTATTAGGACGAGCCACCATTGAAGAGGCCCGTAGTCTTTTACATTGGTTGGACTGTGAAGCGGGTTTTGGAAAGATGGGTATATGTGGACTTAGCATGGGTAAGGCATAAGCATCCACTTAATATTCTAGCTTTTATGATTTGTAAAACCCAAATCACCATCTTTTTATGCATTTAAAGATGAATGTATCATTTGGTCCTTTGAACAATTCAACCTAGTTTGACTCGTTCATCCAGTTTGAAAAATATTATTTTGTTTTTTGGTCAGTGATGGTGTGTGAAATAGATAATTAAGATCTTTAGTGGTTTAAATTTTATGTGTGCAGTGCATTTGAACAGTTGAAACTGATCCTATTAGAAAAAAGTCTAAAAACTTTGTATGTGTTGGGAAAATTTTTAGAGTCACAGTAAATTGAAGCTGTCGAAGGAATTGTTGTTGAGGAGATGGTAGAATGGGCTATGCAGTCGCTGCAAGAAGAATAAGAAAGAACCTTCCTTTTTTTGGATAATTGCATGTTATGCCATATGACCTGTTAATTATCAAAACAAAGGTATAACCGTTTTCCTCATTGGTTTCTTAAATTTAGCTATTAGGTTCCCTCTACTTTTAGATGTATACTATTATCTGAAATTAAGGAGAATAACCAACATGTGTATCCAACCATTGTGCACATGAATATAGTTTTTCTAGTACGTATTGGACAGAGCATGCATAAAATTCATGTCTTTTCAAGGAAATTTTCTTTCTGTTAAAATTTGTTTTTTCTTCATGATATCTAGGAGGAGTACATGCTGCTATGGTTGGTTCATTGCACCCAACACCTATTGCTACACTCCCTTTTCTCTCTCCACATTCCGCTGTTGTGGCGTTCTGTGAAGGGGTACTAAAGCATGCCACTGCATGGGAAGCACTGAGAGATGATCTTTCCGTGCATGAGGCTTCAATGACTCTTGAGGAAGTGAAAGAACGGATGCGAAATGTGTTGTCTCTCACCGATGTTACACGGTTTCCAATCCCAAAAGATCCCAGTGCTGTAATATTTGTTGCCGCCACAGTAAGTGCTAGATCTCACTCTTTGCATGGTATGGTTTACTTGAGGAGGGCCTGGAGCATTTTGGTTGCTCCTTCCGACTCCGATTGATGTGTAATTCCATATCAAGCATGTTTATTCCTGCCAATCAAATGTCTATTCTCACCATTGCTCCTTGACACTTCTTTGTCATGTCGGTAACCAAACTAATCTTTGTTTAGTAGCAGAACTACTAATTTGCTTTTGAAATATTAGCAAAACCAATGTCAAACCAATTTTTGGATTCCACATTTTTTTCATCTGTGTGAGCAGTGGGGCAGAGTTTCTTTCCTGTAGAGTATAATTTTCTGTTCTGCAGTTTGATCTAAAACCATATCAGGTTGTTTCCTAATAGGGAAGGACTTCTCTATTTCTTAATGTAAAGGAAGTATGCAAGCTTAATATGTCATCTTAATCATTTTTTCGCCTTGAAGATCATACCCCTGTGATAATGGTAGAGTCTAAGATAAGATGACCACAGTGGAAACTGGAACGGTCAATCGGCTTGCTATAAGTATGTAAACTTAATATGTCATCTTGATCTTTTTTCGCCTTGAAGATCATACCCCTATGATAATGATATAGTCTAAGATGGCCACAGTGAAACACTTGCTATTTAGAGCGCCAACAGGTAGATTCTTCCTTGTTATGGAACCATATATAAGAGTTGAAACTTCCATCTCATGAGGCTCCTTCCCGAGCTACCTTGTCGGCTTTTGCATTAAACCACTATTTATGCAAGTAATTTGAGCTTGGACTTCACAATCATTTGATTTAGTGGTGTTGTGCTCCGGTGCGATCTTGAAAGCCCATTGAGCTTCCTCATTTTGAAGATGAGGGTATGAGATTACAGGTCTAGAACTGCCTTCCTCTCTTGAAGAGCCATACCTTCAAAGATGGAAAAGTGTCTCTTTATTGTTATAGTCTAATTTTATGTTATGACCTCAAATATCAATCACACATATGGCTTCGACTGAAGAACAATCATGAAATCTTTCCTTTGAGCACGGGAACCCTAAGGGGGTCGTTTGGTAGATGGATAAAAAACAAGTTATCCATGTATTACTTTTTATATAACTTACGACGTTTGGTAGGTGGATAAGAAATAAGTTATTCATGTATAAAATTAATACGACGTTTGGTTGACAATTTTAAAACACACATAACTTATTTATGAGAGAATGTATGTATTATTTTATGTAGGATAGAAAATGGAATAACTAATATATATGTATAACTAATACATGAATAACTTATCCCTACATAACTAATACCTGCATAAAATAATACATGGATTCACTCATAACGAATTCCTACATTACTAATACTTGCATGACTCTAACCAACTACCAAATGACCCCTAAGTACTCTGTATTATCTTGTCTGGGAAAAGCTCTACATAATAACCGCTATACTTAAAAAGGAAACTTTTGAATGTAACGTGGAGCTGATTACATAGCTTTGTGATAGTTGAAAAGAAAAAAAATAAAAATACTCTAGTCTTCTAGCTGATATGAACCTACTGTTGGAAATCATTTAAACTTCATACATCCAGTGAACTTACATATACGGGAGCAATGCAGGCAAACATTCATTGCTTTTATCTAAATATAATTCATTGCTCTCATTTAATTATTGATCAAGGGTTTGTAACCACAGGAAATCTCATGAAACGTTCTTTTTTCAGGATGATGGCTATATTCCAAGGCACTCAGTGCTAGAACTTGAAAAAGCTTGGCCTGGCTCAGAAGTTAGATGGGTTAGAGGAGGGCATGTATCGTCCTTCCTTCTCCATAATGGTGCATTTCGCAGGGCGATAGTGGATGGTCTTAACAGACTACAATGGAAGGAGTCACCTCTGTGACATTGCCATATTTGTGAATAACACACCATGTAATTATCATGTGTTCTTCTTCGCCACTAATTCTCATTGAAATTGATAGTTGATTCACTGGGCCACAGTTGATATTATTAAGCATTTGCTGGAAAATGAAAAGGTGCTGGAAAAGCTTTCATTCTTTGCTTCTCCGTGTTGTTGTGTTACTTCAAAGTACAGTCTTTGTTGAGAGCTGTCAAACAAATAAGGCATCATTGGTGATATTTCCACCTTTAAGTTTTATCTAATACTTGTTGAACTGTATTTGTATGGTAGTAGTTTACTTTCTAATATTTGTTGTTATACTTGTTTTATACAATTTTCTTTTGTGTCTATTTCTTTCCTTTCTTTTTGTGTCAAATATATTTCTTTTGAGGTGAGGGTTTATCATTCTTTGTCTTGCAAAGGTAGAGTTAAAATCTGCATATACTTTATCCTCGGTAGACTTCACTAGTTGGATTACATAGGATATATTGTTGTGGTTCCTTTTAGTTAGGTATGACAGTGTATCATTTGTGCTACCTGAAGTTTGTATTAGGACATCTCCAACCCTTTACTTTATTTTACTCTCTAAATATAGAGTTCTCTATTTTTTTCCGAACAATCAATTTCAATTTAATTCTCTATTTTACTCTCTAAAAAATATCTTCTTCTCTCTCCTCAATATTATATTATTATTTCTATTTTATTATTATTTTCTTATTTCATAATATGAATCATTTCTTTTATTTATTTTTCCAAATAATTATTTTAGATAATTTTCATGTGATATAATATTTTATTTTTTCAAATTCTTTATTTAATATAAAATTTTACTTTATTCTAAGTGTTTAAATAACATAAATTGCAAGCAAATATTATATAATATACAAATTAATGGACAATTCAAATAAAAGTGAGCATTAATGAAATACAATTACATAAACATTACATAAATACTCAACTTTCAAGATTACTACGTTGCTCCCATAAATGCTCTATTAATGCATTACAGAGTTAAAAATGAGCATTTTTGTCCTTAATTTTTTATGGCTAGCTAAAATTGTTCAACCCGGAGATTTTCAAATTATATTAGTGACGGAAATTAAAAAGAATTAAAATATTATTAATTCAGAATGAAAATAGTATATATTAAATAATACATTTTTTATAATATCATATTACATTTAAAAAGAATTAAGAATTTAAATATTTAATCAATGACATTATATGTAAAATAATATGTTCATTACAATATAATAGAAATAATAAAATAGTAAAATAGAGAGTGTGAATAGTAGTTCCCCAAATTTGGAGAACTACTATTCTCTTCTCTAAAAATGATGGATAGAGACTAAAATAAAGAGGGGTTGGAGTGCCATTCTCTATTTTACTCTCAAAATATAGAGAATAGAGAGTAAAATAGAGGTGGATTGAAGATGGTCTTAGTAGTTTCTTGACGAACAATTTGCCGGTTGATTGGAAGAAATGATTGTGATCACTGATCGATTAGCCTTATTTCCCTCATTTAAATAGGTTTTCCCTTGTTTTATGGGCTCCTATCCTTGGGACCTTTTGTAGGTCAAAATCCTTTTGATGATTAAATGAATAATATTTTGATTGGTACTCCTCCGTTCACTTGTTTTTATTCATATTAATAAAAGAATAAAAAGTTTGTTTAAATGTTTTGATAACTATGCACACCTGATTCTCGCATTGATAAAATACATAGGCGTCATTTCACGAATTTAGTGATATAAGTTTAAAAGTTCAGAAAGAAAAACTTAATCCTCTTTTAAAATCCAAAAAAACATAAGTTTATTCACTCTCTTTATTCAAAAATACAAAAAAAAAAAAAAGTTTTCTTTCCTTCTTTAAATATCCAAAAAAGAAAAAGAAAAAAGAAACAAGAAGTTTTGATCTTTATTTAACAATTTTTTTCTACTTACCATTTTTTTAATCCTTATTAAAGGTAGTGTTGAAGCTTTTTGAATTCCTCATTTAAACCAACTAATCAAAAACATTTTTCTTTGTTTATTTTTTATTTCATTTTGGTAGGAAGTTCAAGATTAGAAATAGGATTATCTTATACTTCTTATAGTAATTCAAGAAAACAATCGATTTTATCTTAAAGAGAAGAAAAAGAAGCTTTGTTATTTAGTTTTAGTAAAAAACAATTATGCAAAGATCTTATTCATGTTCTCAAGCTTGTCACGTACACAATTCTAAACGAATTTGATCAATGCATTATCAAATTATTTTTTTAAAAATAAACAAATAAAGGAATAACAATTAAGAAATGAATATAATTGAGCAAGTCGGAATTAAACATTAGATTCTCTAAGCTCATTCTATAAATAAAAGACATGTGTATGCATGACGTACAATATGTGGTTATAACTGAAGAATGTCTAATCCTAATAAGTTTTATTATCCATACACAAAGTTAGCTTAAAGGTGGTTGGTTTGTGGTTAAACTAACATCACATCCATACTATACAAGGTCAAAGGAAAAAGTGAAAATGACCCGCAAAAAAAGGAACATAGTCAGACAGTGATAATGTCCAAAATCAGGTGGTTTCACAAGAATCAATGTCAATAGAGGAAGTAAGGATGTTGAGACAACAAATGACTGAAATGTATGAAGCTTGGATGAACGAACAAGCTCCACCATCTTCAATTCATGGGTATCTAAATACGAATATCTCATCCCCTATCCAAGTATTGACAAGTGATTCAATTTATCCATCCAAATTTAGCCCATACGCTAACACATCCAACATTGTTGGAACTTCCACGATACACCTTTTGAATACGCCTATGATAAGTAATCCACTCTTCATGCAAAATGCAGCAACTAATACAGATCTGCAACCAACAGTGATACCAAAATCCAACAATGATCTTCCACCCAAAGTTTAGCATGATCGAGGTTATACCCCTGAACTGACTCTTAAAATTCCAGGCTCTTACTCCCACACTCATTAGTATAGTTCCCATAATGAAGTTGAGAAAACTATTAAGAATGAGCAACATGAATAAATGACTAAAAAAATGAAGAGTTTGGAACATAGTGTAAGAAATATATAGGGATTAGGAGACCACAAAGTCATCTAATTCAGTTATTTGTGCATGTTTCCCACGTTCATTTGCTTGTCGGTTATAAAACTGCAAAGTTTGAGAAATATAATGGTCATGACGATCCTATAGCTCATTTAAAGAGATATTGTAATCAACTAAGATGGGATGGAAGCAAAGAAGAATTGCTCATAGCTTATTTTAGGGAAAGTTTGGTGGAAATTGTCTCTAGTTCATAGATCAAGCTATTCTTTTTCATTCCGTCGAAAATTGATTTTACGGTATAGACGAAAAGCTCTCTATATACAACAATGAGCTCGGATTATCATACATTACAAGTCAAATATCACCTGAAGTTTTATTAACATCAACCTTTCAGGCAGTGGTTGTTTAGTCCATGGTCCATTGGATGGTCGGTGCAAGGTTAGAAATTGGAACACATTGATTCCGCTAGTTCCCGTCCTTCGCTTCAGGGTTCACTTGTCAACATGAGGAAAAAGGATCTCTAAAAATTTTCGTCAATATGCTATTAGGTGGAGGGAGCAAACTGCTAGGGTTAAGCCAGAAATGATTGATGTTTTTCTCCAAGCGCAGGAACCCGACCACTTTCATTATTTACTTTTCATAGTCGAAAAATATTCACCAAAGTTATTAAGATTGGTGAAATGGTGGAAAGTGACATCAAGTCTAGAAAGATTATAAGTCAAGTTGCTTTGAAAGCCACGACACAAGTGATTAAAAATGGATCTAAAGTCTTGGGGGAAAGAAAATGAAGGAGGATGTAGCAACTCTTGTGTCAGGCACACAAAAAATTCCAAGAGATCCACTTAATCAATATGCACCATCTCAACTCCATCACTATCACCCCATGCAAGACACACAATGTTATATTGTCCCTTCTAAATATGCAGTCTATAGTGCACAATCATATGCACATCCACCAAATTATCATTAATGGCGAGCGCCGACACATCAAAACGTTCGTCCTGCTTCTCAAAATTTTCAAGCACCATATAATCCCCGTCCAAGACAGAAATTTGGAGGAGATGATAGCCCAAGGAACGATTTCAAATCAATTGGAGAGTCTTGCACAAGTTTATTTAATAAATTTCCTTTGTTTTGAGTCATTAATAGTGAACTCTTGACCATGTTGGTTCTCGATTTGTTTTTGCTCAAATTTATTCTCGGGTTGTGCCCGTCTTCTAGGCACAAGCTCCTTGAGTTGAATGAGACCTATAGATAGAGTCTATTTCGTGATACCTTGCACATATCCCACAATGTCATTTTGACTTGTTTTTAATCAGTTTTAAATAGTTCCGAATTTGGTGTCGCAACATTCATATTGATTTCATGATCCTATATTTTTTTAAGAGAGGAAGATCGGAAAAGGTTAGGAAGGGTAAAGCTCTAATTTGATAGATTTTGGAGCGCGCGTGATCAACATCGAGGTAGGCTATGGCTTACCAATCTTAGATTGTGCTTGTTTTGGGATTTAGATGGTGTTTAGTTAGTTTTGAGAGGGTTCATAACATGATGCATGTCTAGTTGATAGAGTTCTTGCCTTTGTTAACATTTTCGGGTAAATTTTTCGAAAATTGAGCATGTTTTACCTTACATGTGCTACCTATCACACCATGTTAATGTTTTATGTCTTACATTGACAGTTGTGAGATTTTGATTGGCCTTAGCTAGGCTTAGACTAGTTACTGCGATAGAAATGCTATTTGGAGGCATTTGCCTTAGAAAATCATCTAACGTCAGCTCAGACGGTTCTAGCTTCTTGTAGACTAATGTAGAAGACTTGGATTTGATAATGTGAATCCTTAGATCGATGGAAACTCTTCCCTTATTAGATTTTCATCCATAATCTATGATCCCGATGTGGTTTTGTCGTGACTTTGGCCCTTGTTGGATCCTTTTGATTTAGACTTGGGTTTCGAGCTAGAGTGAGTCCTATGGAACTCTAAGGATGGTGTTGATTCACAATATTTTTTTATAATGATGACCTTTTGGTTATGGGATCATCTGGACTGTGCAAGCCACGATTCAAGATCCAAGCGCATTTTAGCTGCAATTTGAGTCCG